TAGGGAGACCCAGCTAAAAATCAGCTGCTGCTTCGGACGGGGTCTCGAGAGCTGCGGCTCAGCGACACCAGCAGAGAAAGTTAATTAAAAATAAGCATTCTGGATCCTCTGAAGTTGTAAAATAGTAAACTACAAATATCTGTAAAAAGATTTTCCCACTTTTTAGGCACTGGTAAAAGGTGTTCGTTTCTCTGCAGGGGCCAAAATGCTGTTTGCATGGATCGTGCCCGCAGCAGTTCGGTTGTTGGTGCACTTCCCAGCAGGTAAGATGCTCTTTTTTTCCTACATAGCAATTATCACTTCAAAGAAGCCCTCAGGCTAATTAGTTCGGGTTCTTTCAGCTTCTGTGTGGTGTACGAGTAAACGTCTTTGGTGTTAGCAAGAGCGAAGTCTGATGCTTGATTAGGCGCATACTGTAATTTCCTGAAGAGCTCCTCGATCCGCCGCTCCAGCCGAGCGCTGCCCACGCTCCGTGGCCCCGCGCCGTGCTCCAGCGCCCGGTCTGGCAGAGCTCCGGCCTCGGGGGACACAGGTAGAGAACCGTCTGCGCTCAGGCGTTGGCAGCGGGGCATGTGTGTGGGCGTAATTAGCGCTGCAAGCCAGCTTCGTTTGCGCGCACAGCGAGAAGCTGCTAAGAAGTTATGCAGGAAGGTTTCTTGATTTAGTTCAAGGTAGGGCTGTTGGCTACGTGAGAAAGCGTCTCTACAGTTAGTTTCCACAAAGATTGAACTCAGAAGTGAGGAGAACGGTGCGCTGTTGTTTTCCCGTACCTTCCGCCGCTGCTCGGCTTGTTGGCCCCGGGGCAGACGCGGAGCGCGGGATCGCCTGCGCCCTGTGCTGCTTGGAAAGGCACTGACACGCCAAGGGGTCTCAGCAAGCCGGAGAAAACCTCGCTTACGCCTCCAGCAGAGCCCTGCCTGCCACTGCCTTACCGAAACACGGCCGTCTCCTTCAACCACGGCCAAGAAAGAGTTCTGCTAGGCTTTGCCTGAGGTCATACTGTGAGGACTGGCAGCTGGCCGGCGGTTTCTGACCCCGGTTCATCAACTTGGTGAAGACCGATCCCCCGCGAGATGCCACGCAGAGGCAGGAGCTCTCGGCCTCGAGCGCGGCGCGCTGTGCGAGACACGTGACGCGTTCCCATCAAAGGCTGGTTCTCCCTTTTCTGTTGCAGGAGCACGCGGTAAGGGGAACGTGACCGCGGGCGAACTCCCCCGGGGCGCTGCCGAAATATGTGACAAAGGGACCATGACTGCCAACACCACTTCTCACGTCCAGCCGGGAAGCGGAATCACCCTCTTGTGCCAGCTGAGAGGCCGGCAGTACACGGAGCGGTGCAGGATCGCCATCTTCTTTAACGGCTCCGAGCGCGTGAAGAGTTTCGGCGGCTCAGTAAGCACCGAGTTCACGGTCCACGCGTACGGCAAACACACGTTTACGTGCAAAACAGATTGTGAATACAAGAAAACGCTCATCTGCGGGATCGATATAGAATCTGGAAGTAAGAATTTCATTATTCCTTGTTCTTAAGAGCACGCGGTAAGGGGAACGTGACCGCGGGCGAACTCCCCCGGGGCGCTGCCGAAATATGTGACAAAGGGACCATGACTGCCAACACCACTTCTCACGTCCAGCCGGGAAGCGGAATCACCCTGTCGTGCCAGCTGAGAGGCCGGCAGTACACGGAGCGGTGCAGGATCGCCATCTTCTTTAACGGCTCCGAGCGCGTGAAGAGTTTCGGCGGCTCAGTAAGCACCGAGTTCACGGTCCACGCGTACGGCAAACACACGTTTACGTGCAAAACAGATTGTGAATACAAGAAAACGCTCATCTGCGGGATCGATATAGAATCTGGAAGTAAGAATTTCATTATTCCTTGTTCTTAAACGTTCCCTGGGGTACCGCTGAGACACGTGTTTGAAACGAGCCGTGGGTGCCCTTTTCCCAGAGAAGGTGCCGTGATTTACTGGCTCTTTGTATTTAAAATCTTCCTGGCTGGAACTGTGCAGCTCTGTTATCGATAAACAGAGAGATGCTGAATAAAAGTGCCTGCTCCGAGCAAATCTCGTGCTCCCTCCGGTTCCACCCCTGACGCCCACCAGGCTCGCCAGGGGACTTGTAAGAAAAAGTCTAAAGGAATTTTAGATTTTCGTTGAGCCTGGTGAGCTGAGGCTGCTGCAGCGGTCGGCTGCTGTATCAGTGTGGCATTTTTTTAATTAAAAAAGAAAAGAATAATTGTTGATGTCTTCAAGCAAAGCTTGTGGAGCCCAGTCCGGAGAGCTGTTCGGCGCTTGTACTCATCTGGCACCCTTGTAAAGTCGCTGGGGTTTCGTTCCAGTGTCCATGGTCTCAGCAGGCTGCAAAGAGCCCAGACTCTTTTCACACGTGATAATTATCAGCCTGAATATTTTGTCTCTGAATTCTTTAAAAACCTCAAAACATACAAAAAGCCAACCCTAGCATTTCTGAAAATGTCTCCTGTCCACCTATTTAAGGAAGCCTCTGATAAGAATATCTGTTTAAGATCCTCCAGACGAGCCCAGCAACGTGTCGTGCATCCAGCACGGGACCGACGGCCATCCCGTCTGCACCTGGGACAAGGGACGGCTCACCTACATCACCACTACATACGTCCTACAGTGAGTAGCGCGGGGACGTAGCTCCTTTAACACCTATAATTGCATCTTGGAGGGATTTTTTTCTTTTTACACCGCTTCTTGAAGGTTCACCCTTATCCGAGCAGATGAGAGGGTTGGCTTCTGAAGTCAACCCAAGGCTGCTGTGATCATAGAACCTTGCTGGAGCAGTTAAAACCCCTTCTCTGTTCACATCAGCAGCAGTCTGGCTGCTTCTGGGTTCAGCGGGCGAGGAGGGGACGCCAGGACACGGCTGCCTCTTGGCAGCAGCAGGTTGGCAGGGGAAGGGGTCTGCAAACCCCAGTCCAAACCTGCTGCCTTCCTGTGGTGGGTCTCCTCCCCTTCGTGCTTCTGTGGTTAGCAGTGCCTGCTCCAGAACACCTCCCATCGGAGCTGCTCCCAGTCTTGGCATTTAGCTAAGGAAACAGAGAGGGACTTCGCTTGGACACGTGTTATTTTTGCTTCCCGTTTTAGACCCGAATGATATTTTTGCTCTCTTTGGTTTTCCTGAGCCTCCCCTGAAAAAGCTTGCGCAGACGTCTGCAGCAGAGTGTGGGGAAGGAGCAGAGGCTGCCTAGAGCCCCTCGAGACTGAGGGTGACGGAGCACTGGAACAGGCTGCCCAGGGAGGTTGTGGAGTCTCCTTCTCTGGAGATATTCAAGACCCGCCTGGACAAGGTCCTGTGCAGCCTGCTGTAGGTGACCCTGCTTCCGCAGGAGGGTTGGACTAGATGACCCACAGAGGTCCCTTCCAACCCCTACTATTCTGTGATTCTGTGATTCTGAGACGCCTTCGGAGACCTTTGGATCTCGGGAATCACCGAGCATAGGAGGAACCTTGCTAGAAACCTCTATTCAAGCAAACATCTACGTAGAATGAGTTCATTTTGCCCTTCGCAAGCTGCTGGGTAGGCTGAACCACTCCCTGCTTGGTTCTGAGGTGCTGCGTGTTGACCACCTCCTTGCCCTTCGACGCTCTCGCTCTTCTTCACCTTCTTCTTCTTCACCTGGTTCTGTTGGCCAAGGGAGCGGCAACTTTCCCAGTAGCTCGTAGAAACCTGTCACTGCTCTTTCAGCAGAAGGAGGACGTAGGGGTAATTTGCAGAAGAGTAAGGAGGTGTGGATAACGAGTCCTGCCAGGCTCGTAAGACAGAGATGGAGCGGCGCTTGCTAGGAAGCTATTACGCGTATTGCAAAATACAGGAGGTCAGCCTGAAGCAAGACGATACGATTGTCTCTGATGTGGGCGGAAGGAAATGCAGGGAGAAGCTAAACGAGTTACCCACAGCAACGGGTTAAATGACAAATTGAGAATTAAACATTGCATTTGAAGCCACGTGGTCTGACCGTTAGACTGCAGATAAATTACTTTTTTAATCACTAACTTACGTAAAAAACAAAGCAAAATGAAACAAAATCTGCCATTCTCCCCAATTCCGTGTGCCAACACCTATGCTCGTTCATAGAGAAATGTGAGGTGACCAGTAGCAGGTAACGCTTACGCTCGTAAAAGGAACCTACTCGAATGCAGCTCCCTGGAAATCCCAAAATATTTCCTTTCTCTGCAATTAAAACCAAAAAGCAGTATAACATTACTACCGATTCAGCTAGAGGAGTGTTCGCTCTAACCGCCACATTTAGGTGGATGAAGCAGGTCTGCCCAGGGCCAGATGGCCTGGCCTTCCTCCCCCGAGAGCCAGCCCGCAGGGAAGCTGCCGCAGCAGCCGCCAGGGCCCCGGAGAAGCGCGACGGCACGGGGACGCCAGCCCTGCCCCGCTGCTTCCCGGGCGTACGCGGGGGCATTAACCAGGCCTCCTCCTTCTGTTCCAGGCTGTCAAACGGGACGGATGTCTTACGTGTTTTGGAAGAAAGCCTGAATAAGAAGTTCGGCTCGCTGGCTCTGAGCAAGTTGAATTTTGACTCTACTTACACTGTTGTGGTTGCTGCCTCCAACGAGCTGGGAAGTGCTGCTTCGCAGCCGCTCGTGTTCACGTTAATAGACATAGGTAAACGCGTTACTCGCTGCCTTTCAGCCCGTTAGAAAGACGTGGAAACGTTTTGAGCACTTTCTTCTTTAAACCTCTCGAAAAAAAGCCTCCATCCACTCCAAACCCATAATTCTACTTTCCACCTAACGCCCCGTTCCGAGCTGGGCTGGGCATCTGAGCGCTGTTTGCTTCTTTCTGTTTTCGCTGCCAGTGAAACCACATCCTCCCAACTTTTTGGTGGAATTTGAAAACTCTTCTGTGACCAACTGCACCTTTTTCTGGCACGACGGACCGCAGGCGCAGCACTGCCGGCTGAGATACCGTCCGCTGACCAGGCAGACGTGGAGCGCGGTAATCCTCTCCCGAACACAGGGCGTTGTGATCCTTGGGGGCTGCTTTGGTATCGTTATTTCTTGGTCCAAATTTGCCTTTCTCTGCTCTTTAACACTATATTTAAGAAAAAAACTATTGCCTTACGGTCAAAAACGATCGCTGGTCTGAAACCGAAGGAAGGTAAAAGAAATGTATTGCTCAAAGTTGGGTAAAGCACGTGAACAGAAAACTTATTTTCATCGTGTAATTACATGAGGGATTTTTCTGATGAAGAACTGCAAGCCTGGTGATTCACCACGTCATTCTTTGACCTATTAAAGTCGCTTCAGATCAGGGGTTTCCCCGCTGTTTTTTGAAGATGTGTTTTGGCTGGCGGGGCTTCCTTTGGGCGTTAGCAATACAACCCGTCACTGCCTTCAACCTTCGTTTCCTCGTGAGTTTGACATTCTGCGTCCCTTATCTTCCTTAAAGGTTGAAAGCTTGAACAGCGAGAACTGCAGTCTTCGTGGTCTGGAGCCTCACACAGCCTACGAGTTTCAGGCCAGCTGTAAAATCCACCCTGAGCGAGGGCTGTGGAGCAGCTGGCGCGCGTACCAAACCCGGACCCCGGAGGCAGGTAACCCCCGATGGCATCTCCCGCCCCTCTGCTTCAGCTAGGGAAGTCCACATGCTGCTGGGTCCTTGCTGCTTGGTCTGCAGACCCTCTGTAGACCCAGACCCAGAGCCAACAGGGGAGAAACTTCTGCAAGACGATTGCTTTTGTAACGAACAAAACACGTAGCGGCTCAAGTTTCTCACAAAACAGGAGTTTTGAGAGCTCACCGAGAAGGTCTGAAGGGTATCTCCATCTGACGTTGCTGAAGGCTGGGGGAATGTTCCTGGAGGTGAGGGGACTGAAGCATCTCCCCTACGAGGAGAGGTTGAGGGAACTGGGCTTGTTCAGCCTGAAGAAGAGAAGGCTGCGAGGGGACCTTATAAATGCCTACAAATATCTGAAGGGGGGTGTCAGGAGGATGGGGCCAAGCTCTTTTCAGTGGTGCCCAGTGACAGGACAAGGGGCAATGGGCACAAACTGAGGCACAGGAAGTTCTGTCTGAACATGAGGAAGAACTTCTTCCCTCTGAGGGTGACGGAGCACTGGAACAGGCTGCCCAGGGAGGTTGTGGAGTCTCCTTCTCTGGAGATATTCAAGACCCGCCTGGACAAGGTCCTGTGCAGCCTGCTGTAGGTGACCCTGCTTGGGCAGGGGTGTTGGACTAGATGACCCACAGAGGTCCCTTCCAACCCCTACTATTCTGTAATTCTGTGATTCTGAGCTGTAGTGCTGCATCATGGCACATCTGGAAAAGGCAGGCAGTTTGTGCAGCTTAGCTGAGGAAAGGAAAATATTTCTCCTTGGTTCATATCTAAAGTGTTTTACTGAATCCCTGCAGCCATCCCACAACTCGGGTCAGGACGGCTGCTGTGTCACCCTCCAGGGCTGAGGACCCACAGCCTGGGAGCGGCTGGGCAGCTGGCGCTTGCACCACCATCTGCAGAGCAGTCGAAGGATTTTGCATGGA